CAATCCTCATCATCATATGTGGTGCCTAGGGACCGAGGTGAACTTATAACCATGTCAAGGATTATCCACCATAATTCTCTGGGCAACCTTCCCGCAGGTGAGTCTCGACGGTCACACATGAGGAGAGGGTAGGATCTAAGCTCGGAGTTGGCGTTCACCCGGCGTTTGTAAGCCGAGAACGGGACTGGTCCCGGCCGGTACAAGGGCGGCGCTAATCTTCTTATATTGATGCTATATTGAAACTTAAATCCGATATGGCCATCGTAGGGGATATGTCCACATATTCGATCTATCGGCATCAATAACTTGACCCCATATCGTACTATCATATAGGTCTTTCACAAATTGGTAAGTAATAAATGAAAGGATCGAGAGACTTATTCATCCTTTAAACTATTGCGACGAGCCCTATGCCCACGTGGATTTTAGACATTGTTTCCAGTTTATTCCAGCAAAAAGTCCTAACGAACACAACGAAGAGCTTTCTGAAATGTATATTGGACTCCATGTCTAAATGTTTATTAAATGTGATGACGCGCCCGAATAATGTCAGCAGCCTGTAAACGAACATTAGCACTGACTATTTCTCAAAAGCGGAAGTCAGACGACGTTACCTTTTCTGCAACAGCATATACCGTTGCCGATAGATGTGTGGATGGAATAATAGGCATAACAGATGCATCAATAACGGAGAGATTATTGACACCATAGACCTTCAAGTCGGAAGCCACGACGCCTCCAAGATGCTGTGGCATCATAGCTGCGGTACAGCAAGGATGGGCATCGGTGGGTCTCATAGAAGATTGAATAAATGCACGTAAGGCGTCATTGGACGTCACATTGGTACCAGGTGTTGATTCGATGGCGCCCAAAGCAACCCAGGATGGCAACCTGAGCAGCTTACGCCAACCTTTGACCATCTCAACAGTAACTTCGAGATCAATAGGGTTCTTAAATGTGGCATAGTCGACTACTGGGTCGGCGAAGGGATCGGTCGAATTGATTTTGACGGACCCACGAGAGAAAGGTTTTTGGAGGCTGAGAGCCATTGAGGGAGTTGCACCGCCAGCATACTCTGCAAAGGCAATAGACCCTGACCGAATACCACCCAAGACGACTTTACGTTGTTCTAGTGCTCCAGCAATGATAGTTCCGTCAATCCCCCTTGGAAGGTAGTCTGCGGGAGACTGCCGCTGAAGAATCGACATGAAATCTGAGCTGCGGTCGGTCAGCACACTCAATGGCAAGAATGCTGCAGAGTTCGCCGAGCTGGTAGTCCAAACGCCTAACAATTCATATAGAAATTAGAAACAGAAAGCTATTTCTGTTAGGAGACTGGTACACACCCTTCTTGTCTGTTTCATAGAGGATACGTTGCTCCTCTACCCAAGTGGCGTTGGTCAAATTGGTAGGGCTTGGATTCAAATCGTGCACGAAGGATCCGTCGACGAAGAGGGTAGGATGATCTTGGAAGTTTTGGCCAACACCAGGAAGATTGGAGACGGAATCAATCCCGAATGACTTCAAAAGTGCCTTATCACCAATGCCAGAGAGCTGCAGGAGCTGTGGTGTGTGTGTTGAACCTGCCGCGAGAATGACTTCGGATTT